TTTGCTGGGCCATATCCAATATTCTGTCCAACCCCCCCCCCCAGCTCTCTAACCTTAGCAAAAGTGGAGGACTTTATAGCCACAAAGAATATAATGCAGAGGTTTATTTTAGCTCCCATATTCTCTTCCACAGACAACAAGCTCAATAATTCTCATGTAGGGGTGCCCCCTGAAAGTCCATCAACAGGTTAATGGTTACTCACTTTCCTCCTGGCTTCTGCTCTCTGGAAGCTCTCGTGCTGTATAAAAATGATAGCTGCGAGGACCCGAGAGGACAAGGCCTGTTCAGTTTTCAATATCTGTATAGCCCGCTCCAGAGTCATCTCCTCTTCTGGACTCCTGGGTGATCAAACACAGGAACTTAGTTACTTGACAGCAGAGATGTGCAACTAAACTAATCTGTAAATAACTCTGCTGCCTCGGAGAACAACAGGAGAGTCTTGTGGCACCTCAGAGACAAACAAGCTTATCAGTGGCATAAGATTCCGGTTTATCAGATGCATACTGTGTCAAAGCTGGGTTGACAGATTTCACACACAAGCACACAGGTATAGAGAGGAAGAACAACAGTGGGGTCAAAAGGGCAACAAAATGAGATGCAGCTTGTTTGGGCCTCTGGTTTTCTTTCCCATTGGAGTGTTAAATCAGCATAACAAACCCCGGGAAGGCTGTGTTATCACTAATGAGTCCCCCTGCGTCACTGCTCTTCCCATCTGGAATTTGTTCTCTCTTTCCTTTGATACTGCATGTTCTGCAATGGTGGATGGAGACCAAAGTATGTGTGTGTGTGAGTGTGTGTGTGTGTGTGTATGCTTCAGCCTTTCCCTTGTGCTGTTTTTCCAACCTGAAATGTCTCTGGGCGGTGCTATTTGCTACAGTGTTGGCTCCACATGCACTGGTGGGGTCTATTGAGGTTTTCCATACAGGGCAAACAGGTTGAGAAAACAGCAAGGGATAGGATAAGCCCCCACTCCCTGTTTGACAGGGTCCCAATCCAATCAGGCCAGTGCATGCCTGGGCTTAGGTTTCCGCCACACAGAACTCAAAAAACACATTTGATCCTGCAGATCTGGGGAAGACCAGAAAAGCCTGATTTGTAGTTAGGCGACCAGCAAGGATTAGGATCAGCTGCAAAACTCTATGGTAAATTTGGCCTAAAAATATAAGAGCTTTGCCCTCAAACCAGAGTGTCACTGCATGACATCACCAGTACGATGACATCATTTCCAGGCAATGTCCCGGAACGCACCCCCAATTTCCCCACCAGTGCGGCGAGAGGACCAGGCAATGCTAATCCAATGCCAGAGGTCACCCTCCAAAGTAGCCTTTTTCTCTCCAGGCGAACTGATCTCTGTCATCTGGAGAGCAATTGTAATACCAGGAGATTTCCAGGCCCTACCTGGAGGTTGGCAACCTTAAACAAGCAGAATTGGAGAAACAATTTCCAGCTCTGTGTCCATCCATATGTATATTTTCACATCTCTGTAATTCTTGTGTTTCTCATTCTTTCTGATGTTTCTAAGTCTACTGTTGGGCTGTGGATGAACTTTAAACACATAGTATAGAGGAGCAAGATGGTGGTTGCTGACCCGATCCCTAATGTCCATGCATTCAGCAGATATTGTAAAGAACCTCATGCATTTTTGGGCTTTCTGTGCTCCTGATCGCAGGGAAGAATCTACAGAGTACCCTTGAAAGTCCACTGACTTAATGGACCTGGAAGGGTGTACTCTGCTTAGGATGGCACTGTTTGTGAAGTAATTGACAAGGCTACACACATGCAGATTATTGTGTTTCAGCATTTACATGTCAACAAGGAACTTCCTGTGCCTGTAGTTTACATAATCTATTATCTTCCATGGGCTGAAAATTACTCTTATTCTCACAGCGGCATTGTGCAATGCTTCTTTTATTTCTGCAATTCCTGGGGACATGGTTTTTCTTACCAGAACTTAAACTTGCAGTTATTAAGGTATACCGATGGCAGGGACGGGTGGGTGGGGGTGGGTATTCTTGTTATCATGTGAGAACAAGTCTGTGTATTTGTCTTAAAATAGCAGCTGCATTTAATGAAGCTGTTGAATTATCCAGGTGATGTCTGCTGAAGCCCCTTGTTCATCATGCTCATGCACTCCCCTCATTCATCTTTCTTAGAGATTTTAAAAAAAAAACACCACCACATAACAAACGAAACCTGTTTAGACTGGCAAAGAACTGCAGAAGGCCATGAACTTCTCTCTGAATAGACAAACAGCTTTTGGCTGGGATGAGCTGATACTGTGTAACCTATTAAACAAGGTTGTCCAGCTGGCCAGGAATGGGATTCTAGACCAGAGGTGTCGAACTCATTTGTTACAAGGGCCAGACCTGACATAAATGTCACTTTGTTGGGCTGGACCATGTGTGCCATAAAATGTAATGCCAGGTACTGGAGATATAAACTTTATAAAGGACACAGGCAAACCCAATTAACAATATTATTTTTTACTCAAAAGACTAACAAAAGTGATTTATTCCTAGCCGAGAACCCACAAAAGCCCCAATAAATGTATTTAATGCAAAACTAGTTTCCCCCCCTAGGGATACCATAAAAGGGGGAGTACCTTACATTTCCATATATACCAGTTGCTTGCGGGCCCGGGGCCTTATGTTTGACACCCCTGTTTTAGACCAAAGCAACTGAGTCATTATTTCTTTGACTCAGTTTTTGCTGCAGTGTCATGGTATCCTATGCTCTGAATACCTCTGCTCCCTAACTCCATATATATATATAGAGGGGGGGAGGGATGTATGTGTGTATCTCTATCTCTATCTCTCTATCTAGACTCAGAATCAGATACTGTGTTTCCCTGAAAATAAGACACTGTCTTATATTTACTTTTTTTTCCCCCCTGGACATGGCTGACACTTTTGGCGAAGGAAGGCAGGGTGTGTGTGGGTGCATGCGGGGATCATAAATGCTGTAGATAAACCAACTTTTTACAATAATGACCACAAGTGAAATGACCTGTCTGATTTTTTTTGTGTGCTTGGAAGCTTACTAAGCTGAAGTGTGTCCCAGTGTTTTTGGTTTACATAAGTGCCTTCTCATTCTCTCTCTCTCCCCCCATTGCTTAAGTATCATGTTGAGGACTCTGCATCTTTAGTCTTCTGGGTTGTCCGTTGCTTGTGAATGTCACTGCTGGGAGACCACAGGATCTCTGAGTATTTATGAGGGAAATACTTTTCAAAACAGTGTATCTTGCTTGCTGCTTAGTTCAAGTAATTAGGCTTTGAAGGACTGTTTTTGAAATGATCTGCTTAAATGATCTGTGGTGGAGAGGGTATCCTATGTTTCTTAAACTTGCTTCTAAAGGTTTTAAGTTACCATTTGGTGTAGTGGTTAGGAGTATGGACTCTAATCTGAAAGAACCAGGTTTGATTCCCCTCTCTCAGCCCCAACTACCTCACAGGGTGTCTGTTTTTAAATGGTAAACTGATCTGCATGAACAAGATGGGGGGGGGGGACATTCAGATCACAGTCCTTTTAAAATTTCCTTCTGCCGTGTGCAGCCCAGAGAGAACATTGGCAAGAAATGTGCACTCTGTACATCTTCATGCTCTTCATTTTGCTGTTACTTAAAATGGTGTGGTATAGTTTCAAAGGGACAATTAACTGGAATGTGTAAAAGGAATGACAGGATTGCCCATTGGAAACAATGGGAGAGGCTTGAAGGCCTATTGGAGATAATGGGAGCCAGGAATTCCACTCCATTGAAATACATTGCAGCACAAAAAAAGCTGCAAAGAAAATGTGGAATGGTTTTTCCATTAAGGGGCGTGGGGGGCTTGTACGTGAGAGTCCTTGCTAATCCTTGTTTGATTTTCATAATGAGCTGCATTGTCAGGGGGTGTGGCCTAATATACTAATAAGTTTCTGCTGTTGGGTGTGGCCTATTGTGCTAATTAGTTCCTGCTGGGCTTTTTCTACAAAAAAAGCCCTGCAACAAGTAATTAGGTTGTGGGACTCACTGCCAGTGGATATGGTGAAGGCAGCCAGCACAGATGGCCTTAAAGGAGGATTCCACAAATTCATGGAGGAGAGGTCTATCAGTAGCCACTATCCACGATGTCAAAAGAACCTTCACACTCAGAGACCTTAGCCTCTGAATACCAGTTCTAAGAGGCAGTGTCAAGGAAATGTCTTGGCTTCTGTGCCTTGTTGATTAGCCCTACGAGGGCAACTGGTTGGCTATCGTGTGAGTTAGGATGCTGGAGGAGATGGACCGTGGTCTGATTCAGCAAAGGTCTTCTTATGTTTGTGCTTAGAAGTACATGGTGTTGACAGTACAAGGTGCTCATAATGACTATATATGTTGATAACAGTAGCATGCAGCTAAAACTTACCCTAGCTGACACTTGCCACTGGCTACTCTTTCTTGCTCTATGAGACCACTTCCTGCTGCAGCTGCCATAGCTGCTGTCATGGCCATCCTCCTCCCGCCTGTCTCAGCAGTAGCACTGGTGACTGAAGCCGGCTGAGAGGCCTCCCTCGTGTTCTGCGTCCGGTAAGCACTCTGATGCCAGCTTGACCTCATTGACTGTCTGTATTGAGATCCCGCTTGGGAAGCCATGGGTGACCTGACTTGTCCCACAGCAGCATCAGAATTCTGGTAACTATCTCTATCCAAAAGGTTGGTCATGCTCCGACTGCTCCTGATTTGTTGATAGAGCGGCACTCCTGGGCTGGTAGGGACACTGTCAACCACCGTGTCATTGACAGGCCCCACATAGAAATGCCTTTGAAAGGTGCTTCCTCTGTTTAGAAGGCTGTGGCTCCCATAGCCACCAGCCTCGGAGCGAGCGTATCTTGGTGGCACAATACCAGACCGCCTGATATCTCCAGGCCTTAGAGTTAGACCTCTGTTGTACTGAAGGCCATTCTGCAGATAAGCCAACTTGTCGGGAACATCCGGAGAAACCTCTAATCTCTTCAGGGGCTGTCTTTGAGACCTCTCTTCTATGGACTTGTATGAACTATATTGCATGCTTCGAGGACCCCAGCCATTTTCATAACTAACTGGGGAGCTTTTCTGTAAAAACAAAAACAGAAAGAACACCAGTCAACAGGAAGGTCACAGAATGGAGGAAAACTTTGGGGAAACCCCCGCCCCCCCGTAATTCAGTTCAGTCCTGTCCACAGAAATCAGACCATGGAGTGGTACCACTGGATGTCACCACAGCTTTCTTCCTTATCAGGTTACACCAGTGCCTATTAGTTAATGCTCTTCGTACATCCTGTGTTAAAACCAGAGAACTCACTACAAGATGAGATCCTTACAGTGAAGCACTGAACGATCCACATAAGCACACACATCCACATAAGCAGAGGCGGCAGCAGCACCCCCACTGAGATGTAAATGGGAGTTCCTAGTGGCTGCTGAGAATCTCCCTTGGAGATTCAAAGTCAGAAAGCAAACTGAATTTGAGAAAAAAGGAGAAAAGAGTGCAAGGTCCTTTAGTGTGAGCTAGCTTTCAGTGGCTCGGTCTGTTTCTTCACTTAGTTTAGTGTTCTCCACCTTATGTCACAATGTAATGTGACTTGCAATATAATTAAAACATCCCATTATAAAAAAAACGCAACACTGTCTAAACTTAAATATTTGTACACAGATAAAATCAACAGAAATGGGGAAGCTTCCCACAAATGTTACCACTTATATCCCCCCCCCCAAAGTGAGAAAAGATGTTGCATTAAGAATTTTGTAGGGAAGCATACAACTCCTTGGGCCACCACAAAAAGGCCCTGCTCCCCTCCAGTAAATTCCACCCATATTACCCTAACTCTTAACAAGTGGAAGGAATCAGCCAGGATGATGGATGTGTCTTATGCTGGTTTGGGTCCCACCTACATTTCTACAGGTGCAAGGAAGCGGATGATTTTCACTGATTCCCCTCCTCCCGCAGGAGAACTCCAATCTCCGAAGCGATACCTGGGGATTCCCTGTACCCCCAGGAGCAGCATTTTGGGGTGTGTTTTGGGCTGCTGCAGGAAGGAGGAACTGGTAAAAACCACCCATCTTTGTGCCTGCAGAAATCTAGGTGGGGTTCAAACCAATATATGCAGCAGAGAGCTTTGAAGCCCAGGTCAGTCATTTGAACTGAAAGGAAGCGAAAGAGGGACACAGAAGACGCAATTCTGGTTAGACACGTTCCCACATCCTCAGAGCAGGTCGTACATTGTACTAATTCCCAGTGTAGCCTTACAGTAAGCACCAGTTAAGCAGGTTTGTGTATCTGTGTGAGTTGGCTGCAGGGTTCTCCCCAAGCGTTTGAGTGTCCTAAATAGGGGCTGGAGTCTTTCTTCTCCTAGCACATCAGCCCTTGCTCTAGCACCACCAGATTCTTCTCCCATCTTTCTGAGGTCTGTGCCTCTGCACAGCTCCCTTCCCTTTTCCTGATTATCAACTGCATTTGCATTTTGCCACTTGAACAAATGGAGGACAGAGGTGGGACTAATGGGCAAAATCCTGCCTGGTTCCATAGTAGCTTGAACAGGGCTATGCGGCTGAAGACAAGACTGCCCAGTCGACCCAGATCAATTTCACGAGTGAGCAGAGACTTGAAATCCAGCCCTTCTGACTGGCCAGCTGTCCACCTCCATTTCAACTTGCTTTCCCAACTCTTAATAAAGATTTTACATCCTTTGTTTATTATATTGCTGTCCCATACTTCCTCCAAGGAATTCAGGAGCCAAGGTTGGCATAAATGTTCCTGTTAGACAGAGTTAGGATGACAGAGAATGGTGAGCCAAGGCCACCCACTGAGGTTCATGTTGAGCAGGGCTGCCAGCCCCCAGGTGGTGGAAAAGGAAACAAACAACCGTGATATATTATGGCACAAAAGTCTCCAAAGACTAGGCATTTCTTTTTCCAATATTCAATTTACTGGATGCAATTCAAACGCCATCTGAATATTGAATATTGGAAAAAGAAATTTCTAGTCTTTGGAGACTTTTGTGCCATAATATATCACGGTTGTTTGTTTCCTTTTCCACTTCCTTCCCATGATCTCTCTCCTTGGTTTGCAGCCCCAGGTGGTGCCTGGAGACCCCCTCCCCAATTACAACTGATCTCCAGACGACAGTTCCCCTCGAGAAAATGACTGCTAAGGAGGGTAGACTCCATGGTATTATACCGCACTGAGCTCCCTCCCTTCCCTTCCTCTCCCCAAACCCCATCTTACCCAGGCTTCACCCCCAAAATCTCTAGGAATTTCCCAATGTGGACTTGTCAATCCTAAGGGTGCAGAGGCATTTGAATCGGTCTCTCCCCTAGGCCTGGTCTGAAACTCCAACTACTATACCAAAGAGCCAGTTTGGTGTCGTGGTTAAGTGCACGGACTCTAATCTGGGAGAACTGGGTTTGATTCACAGTTATCACAACTGCATCTACTGGTGGTGCTACTACTAACAACTGATTGTCATGGTGGAAGTCCTAAGCCATAGGTCCCTGTGACTACTGCCTGGCCCAGTCCCTCCCCTCTCTTCTACAACTGAAGCAGACCAATAGAATCTTAGGTAATATCAAAAATGCTAGCACTTTAATATTGTTGACTTTAACACTGTTTTATATTATTGTCTTATTTATTAATGTAATGAACTGTGTTTTATCTTGTGTACATTTTATTGTGTTGTGAGCTGCCCTGAGCCAGCCTAGGCTGGAATGGGCGGGATAGAAATCAACAAAAATAAAAAAATAAATCCCCCACTCCTTCAGTTGCAGCTGCTGGATGACCTTGGGCAAGCCATAGTTCTGTCAGAGCTGTCCTTGAAAGGGCAGTAATTGGAAGAGCTCTCTCAGCCCCGCCTACCTCACAGGGTGTCTGTTGTGGGGAGGGGAAGGGAAAGGAGTTTGTAAGCCGTGCTGAGACTCCGAGTGAAGGGCGGGGTAGAAATCCAATCTCGTCTTCTTCTTCTAGGAGGAGGGCCCGTTGTGGCAATAAGTGCAACGATCTCTAGAAGAGGGCCTGGGCAAGCGCATCATTGTGGAGCAGGCCAGCTATGCATGGGCACAAGTGTCCGATAGAAGGCCAGAATGTGACTAGTTCTCACAAAGCTGAATTTCTTTACAAGCAGCCAAACAGCTTGGCAGGCATTTCAGTTTTCTTAAACAAATCTTGTCTTGGGTTTTCCTTTAGTAACTTGAATTAGTTTCCCATTCAAACTCCCGAAATACCTGTGCTTTGCTGTAACCTAGCATTAAAATTTCACGAACCAGTTTTTTTTTAATTCTGTGGCAGGAAAACACAGAGGAACATTATTAGGCAGGTGCAGGGTACTCCATTGATAGTGGAGAAAGGGGCAAAGCAAAGCAAGTAATTAGATAAATTCAGACACTGTAATTAAAACCTGGCTTGTACTTAACAACCAAACGAGATGGTTTCAGTCTTCAGGGCCCATAATGTGTCTGACGAATATAAACAAAGGCAGAATTCCTCTTGGCTCATGTAAAATCAAAAGCCCCAGTGTCTGAAATGAGGATTAGGTTCTTTCCTGGCACAGATGTTGTGTGTAACAGTTGCTAGCTCTTTTGAACAAATTTGGTTTCTGGTTGGGATTGTGTTATAAAGCAAAACAGTGATTAACTTCTGTTCATGGAGTCGTAACACTTTACTGCGTATGGTCATCAACCCCAAAATATAACAAAAACCCAGTAGACATGCTCAGAACGGAACCTAATTAAATACCGGGGGCGTGCATTTGTCTCCTAATCATCTTTTTTCTTTAAAAAACGCCCAAAATGAAAACCAATTTCTTTAGCCTGAGGAGTGAAAAAGAATGAGGAAATAACAACAAATGAATGCCATTCATTGCTTGCTGCCTTGTCCCCAAATTTCCATCTTCTTTTCCCTTCTTTTGTCTTCTCTACACCTTCCCTGACTGTATTGTGGGCTGGGGTTGTTCGTCCTGGTGCTGTGATGCCAGCCCCCAGGTGGGACCTGGGGATCCCTCGGAATCACAGCTGTTCTCCACACTACAGAGATCAGTTCCCTGGAGAAAATGGATGCTTTGGAGGGTGGGCTCTATGGCATTGTACCCCACTGAGGTCCTCCCCAGGCTCCATCCCCCAAATCTCCAGGAGTTTCCCAACCTGGAGCTGGCAACCCTACACCCCCCACTCCCCATCTGTGGCCAGGAAGGACTCGGTAACCCTACAGGAAGCCGATGGATGGGTGGGAGACTCTCTCTGTTCTCTTGCTACTTCAGACTTCCCCTCTCGGACACAATATGAGGCAACTTCACCGTTCTGCGTACAATAGGATGTAATTCTCAGAAGGCCTGCCTAATATCTAACTGGCTCCTTGAGGACTAGATGCCCCAGGGCCCACAGTGCCTCAGACGCCTCAGGAAATGCATCCTAGAGAGAGGCAAAAGATGAAGAGAGAGAAATTCTCCCTGCTGTTCATTAACTGGTTGACTGGGAAGCTTCCCGCTTGTCCAGCCGTGGCGTGGTGCAGCAGCCCAGGAAGAAGTGGGGGAGGAGGGTGGGAGAGCACAAAGGAGGAGGCGATGGAGGTGTTTCCATTTAAAACAAAGGAGAACAAATTGCACAGAGACAAAAACGGGCAAATTTCTTGAAAACGAAATATTGAAACCTCTGTGAAAACCTCAGACACAATAAACCCCTTCATCTGATCTCTCTCTCTCTCTCCTTGCATCTGTGCATCTCTTTAGCATTCCTCACCTGATGAGACTGATAATACAAAGTTCTCCCAGCAGGTCGTGAAGCAAAATCCGTTTCAACCGTATCTAGATTATACACATATTCTGGAACACTAGAGGTCCGGTGCAGGCTCCCTGTACAAAGGGACAAGAAACATAATTACAGCCAGGTTTTAATTAGATGAAGGAGAAATGTTCAAACCATCGATTTGCAGAATAGGGAGACCAGACATTTGAGGTAACTTTGCCACTGGGGTTATCACATTTCTGTAGAAGCAAGGCTTTTGGATCAATACAGCACAAAGAACTGGGGGGAAAATAACAAGAGTCATGTGCCAAGACGAGAAAACGTTTGGATAGGGTTGCCAGCTCTGGGTTGGGAAATACCAGGAAATTTTGGGGGTGGCGCTGGGGGAGGGGGGGGTTTGGGAAGGGACCTCAGCAGGGTACAGCGCCACCCTCCAAGGTAGCCACTTTCTCCAGTGGAACTGATCTTTGTTGTAGGGTTCTCCAGGGGAACTGTCATAGTGGGAGATCTCCAGATGCCCCCTGGAGGTTGGCAACCCTACTTTTAGGTTGCTAGCTCTGGGCTGAGAAATACCTGGAGATTTTGGGTGTGGAGCCTGAGGAGGGCAGGGACTTCAATAGGGCATAACGCTATAGAGCCCACCTTCCAAAGCGGCCTTTTTCTCCAGGTAAACTCATCTCTGTCACCTGGAGATCAGTTGTAATCCCAGGAGATCTCCAGCCACCACCTGGAGATTGACAGCTCTAGGGAGTACACTCCACTCTATTGTTTCCCAGACTTTTGATAACCAAGGTGCACTTTTTCTCTAGAGGAGAACTGAAGCACACTTTACTCTTAGACTCTACAGAGTGTATGAGAGTAAGAACCCTCTGCATTAACGAACATACTGAGCCTCCTTCCAATAAGAACGGATTACTCAGGACAGTGAATTGGGCAGAAAGTTAGGTTTTCATCCGTTCCAGCTGCATGCTGTCAGTTCTCTGGAAAACACCATGAGCGGGAATTGCTTATCTACCACCTGATGGTACGAGGTCCTCAAGATCCAACCCAGCTGAGAGTCTGGGATACAAGTGCTTTCAATAAGCACATCAATGCAAATAGCAAAAGCACCCCTCCCCTCGAATTAGAAAGAGGTGCTGGTTGGAGGGGGGAGGGAGATGCTATTAATATATATTCATGAAAGCCCTTCCCAAACCACTGGTAAGTTTTGGAACCATTGTGGGAAGAAATACCAGTTTAAAAAATCTTTTCTGTTACAAAATAGGTAGCTATAGAAGCAAATGAAAGAACACACACAAAAAAAGATACACAGAAGGAGAATTCAGAAGGAAAAAAGGTACAAACCATGTTGCTCAGTTTTTGTTTTCAGTGTTATTAGTTCATATATTATACAAGAGAGGGATCTGGGAGGGCTTGAGGGGGAGGGGAAATCTCACCAGCTGGTCCCCGTTTCCCCCTCTGTTGCTTCAGCTCCACTTCCCCAGCCCCTCCCCCTTTTCTCAGGTTCTTCTTCCCACCCACTTCCTCTTTTTTCCTCCATCTTGCTCACCTACCCAACTTCCCCCCATATCCGTTTCCTCCTGCCCTACTGACTCTATGTCCTGCTCTGTCCTCCCGCCCCACTAGTTCTCTTCCAGCTTCCTCTTGCTCCATTTGCCTTCTCTCCTCTGCACGGCTGTTATGTCTCACTGGGTTGGCAAGGCAACACTTCACAATGGCGGATGCCCTGTGAGATCTCGCAACGTATTCTTCCAAGATCTTGGCTGTGATGGAACTCCGTGTGCAAATATCATGTGTTCATTTTGAATAGCAGGCTACGAGGACATGCAGCAGGAGCGGCGACGGTGGCGGCGGCATGACCCTGGCGACCAGCGTGCGTGCGCGGCGGAGGCTAGACAGAGGCGGAGTCGTGGTGCATGGTGGCGTGGAGACACAGCGCGGTGGAGCCAGCGGGACGGAGCCGGAACTGCGGCTGGTGCGTTGCCGAACACTGGATGAAGCCCACCAGGAGGAGCCGCGGATTAAGATCTCTTCCGGGCGCCAGGAGGTGAAGCGCCGAAGAGCCTGCCAGGAACTAATACAACAACTAAGCCAGGAACTGAACAACAACTGAGCCCGCTGCCTGGGTGCTGGTAGGTTATCCCCCCCCCCATACAAAAAATGTGGCCCTAGTTAGGTATAAAGTTATATGTAAACCGCTCAGAGACCCTTAGGGGTCAGAGCGGTATATAAGCAGAAAATTAAATAAATAAATAAATAAATAAATAAATCCCTACATTGTTATTTTAATTCCCCCCCCTGCAAGTCATGGGGCTTAGAAGTAGGGCTGCCAGGTGCCCCCCCAGCCTCCAGTCGGGGGGGGGGGGTGGGGGTTTCGGTGAGCTGTAATTCTGGGGGACGTCCCTCCTGGAGGCTGGTATCCCTACCTAGGAGTCCATGGTACTAGTTCTGGAAATAACAACACTAACTGATTGAGAATGTATGGGCAGTTTCTTCAGAGTTCAGCTAGCCAGGCTTGAGAGATTATGACTGGGATCTCCTGCCTAAAGCAGCAGTGAATAGGGCTGTCAACTCTGGCTTGGAAAATTCCTGGAGATTGGGGGTTTGGCATAACGTCACAGTCCACCGAAGCTGCCGTTTTCTCCAGGAGAACTGATCTCTGTGGTCTGCAGACCAGTTAGGATTCTAAGAAAACTTCAGGCCCCACCTGGGGGTAAGTAACGAATAAATATACACTGCAAGAAACTCTTGTAAATTAACGTGTTCTGTTCATAACTATTATTCTATAAAGTGCATTGTATGCTATTATAACATCCTTGTCAGGTACCTATATTCAGTACATTCAGTATAACAATAACATTCAGTTCATACAAAAGTTTCTTGCCGTGTATATTTATTCGTTACTTGACTCTCCTAACACTGCAGCTACACCCACCTGGAGGTAGGCAATCCTAGCCAGTGAAGGAAGGGGAGGCAGCGTGGTGTAGTGGTTAAGAGTGGCAGACTCTAATCTGGAGAACTTGGTTTCATTCCCCGCTCCTCCACATGAAGCCTCCTGGGTGATGACGTTTGGGCCAGTCACAGGTTCTCTCGGAATTCTCTCAGCCCCACCAACCTCACAAGGTGACTGTTGTGGGGAGAGGAAGGGAAGGTGATTGTAAACTGCTTTGAGACTCCTTAAGGTAGAGAAACGTGGGGTATAAAAACCAACTCTTCTTCTTCTACTTTCCCCTAGCATGGGCTCCCAACATGAAACACCCTCACTGTTGTTCGCCCAGTGAACAAAGATATCAATGAGCAATTTTTTAAAATTGAATTGGATTTATTAGTCGAAGAAGAGTTGGTTTTAGAAGAGTTGGTTTTTATACCCCACACTTCAATACCCAAAGGAGTCTCAGAGCGGCTTAAATTCTTCTTTGCTTCTTCTCCCCACAACAGACACCCTGTGAGGTAGGTGGGACTGAGAGAGCTCTGAGAGAACTGCTCTTGACAGAACAGCTCTGAGAGAACTGTGACTGACCCAAGGTCACCCAGCTGGTTTCATGTGGACAGGTGGAGAATTGAACCCAGTTCTCCAGATTAGAGTCCGTCACTCTTAGCCACTACACCAAACTGGTGAGTAAGGTGAGTAATAATAAAAGCTGCAACCTCGAGAACAGTGAGCTGCACGAAAATCCTAGAGGAAGTGGCAGGGTGTTCACTTAGATGCGTGTGCCAGAATGCAAGATTATGCTAACCACAGGTGAGCTTTCTCAATTGTAGAAATTGTTCAGGTAGGAGTACAATTGCCCACACTCATGTAGCTGGCACAGCAGGGCTCTGCTTGCCTTGATAAACCACCACTTATCTGTTCATACCTTAGCAGCTGATTCTCCCCTCTCCTTTCCCAGGCTCTAATCTCACAGGAAGAAATCGGAGCAAACAATACTTTGCTAATCCTGCTCAACAATGCTAAGAGGATACCCACTTGAAAAGTCACCAACCATCAAATTCTATAGATTAGGGCGACACAGCATGTGGAGGAAACTGGTGGTTAATCAAATGGCTCGTCCATATTTGGAAAGTTAAGTAGCTCCATCAAATAGGTTGACTCAGGAGGGTAGCCGTGTTGGTCTGAAGCAGCAAAACAAAGTTTGAGTCCAGTGGAGGGAGAGGCACGGAGCACATTTTTTCAAACCACAGATGTTCTTGGAAGGTCAAGTTGTTATAGCTGTTGTCTTATCTCCTTGGTTACAATCTTATTTCAGTTCTAATTTAGATATTCTCCCAGGCTGTCTTTGGTTCCCTGCAGATCAGGTCCCCCGTTGATTAAAATGGATTATTGTCTACGTAATAGTGTTTGAAACCCCCAAGCTGGGAGCAGCTGCCCTAGATAGAAGTGAAAGGGTTCAAGAGGTTACTTTGTTAAGAGGTGATTTAGCAAAGTGGTTGTAATTTCCCCCTTTATTACTTATTCCTGGGGTAATGGGCTGTGCAATTCTATGGGCAGCTACAGCTTGATCAGTCCTGCTGTAATACACAGTTACTACCACCTAGCTGTAGCTAGGTAGAAATTCAAAGCACGAACTGACTGACACTGTCCACCACTGCTAAAGGAAGAGAAATAGGTCTGGATTATGTTCCACAATCCCTGCCACCAGGGGTCGTTTCGTAGAAAAAGAGCTAGGGGAACTCATTAGCATAACTCATTAGCATATGCCACACGCCCTGACATCACCGGAAATGTGTCATAAGGCCACACACCCCGCCCCCAACGGTCCCGGCCGCCACTGCCGGCCTTGCAGCTTCACTGCCAAGCCCCATGAGGGGCCCGGTGGTGGACCTGCAAGGCCGGCAGGAGTGCAAGGAAGCCCCACGAAGGCCCTCCCTGGCCCCAGGCAGGCAGGGGTGGGGAGAGGCAGGGAGGAAGCAACTTACCCTCCCTCTTCTCCTGCCTCCTCCTGGCTGAATCGGGGCGGCCGGAAGCACGGGGCGGGGCTTCGTCATGTGCCCTGCCCCCGTACCTCACCCGGGGGAACTGCGATCCCCCGCGATCCCCCCCGAAATGACCTCTGCCTGCCACGCTGCGCCTACATAAAGGCCCTTTACTGCCTATTACTGCCACCAC